TCTGGTCCGCAAAACCGTTTGATTTGGTATCGCCCGGGCACTGACACAGGTGTGATGTCACCCAAATGGGATTATCCCCTTAAGTATCCTGATTATGGATCGACCTTTTCGTAAAATATAATCCGAGAAACATGGGCTAGATTTCGAAAAAAAAGTAAAATTGTATGGACTAAATTTTGACACAACTTCTTAAACTTATGCATTTTCCGCATAAACTCCTTTTTACGTCCCGGAAACATTGCCACCGCCCCTAAATAGCGCCTTTTCGCAATTTTGTCAGATAAAAAATTTCCTTCAGTGAACAGGGTCGACGTATTGAGTTCGGGTGGCAGACCTCGTCAATTTCTTTTGAGTGCCTAACAAAAGTCGACAGTCTCTTCCCATAAGTTAAGTGATCCATCAAGGTAACAACCCCAGTTAGTCAATCAGTGAGATAGTTTAAATGGAGGAAGTCAGTTTAATATGCTTAAATCATACTTAAGTACGAAAGAGCTTTTCAGACATTTTTACATTTCACTTATAATTGATCATTTTCGTCTTCCTTGAGCAGAGTCTGACTGGACTCTCATTGGTGTATTTACTGGGGTTGCTATGGCAACTTTAAACCTCCTTATGTATACTTGATTTCGTTCGTTTCCTGTTACAAATGCATTTCTTTCCAGTGTCTGAAAAATTTCTTAATCCGTATTTAAATTTTACACATTCACTTCCAACATACAATGCTATGAAAATTAGTCGAAATGATCATAAAACGCATAAACGGTTACAGATTTTGCAGTGTATGTCATCATGGTGCCAGTGATGTCAGTTATTTTGTGCACCGCTAAACCGTGCTCTGGCTGAAAACTAGCCATTTCTACTGTAAATTTTTGTAAATAAAAATAAACCCTCTTTTTCAGTCTGAAAATAAATTATTCGATTTAATGGCCATAGATGGCGCTAGAGCTAGGTGTGTTCCAACTCGGTGTCGATCTTCAGTGTCATCACCAATTTACCGGAAATGATACTTCTGATGTTTTACGCGCTACCAATACGTTGTTGTTCTTTTGAGAGAGAAAACAAGCGTAGGATATATATGAAAATACACAATTACTGTTTTACTATGAGCCAACATTTCCCATATGTCATGCTATAGCAGCGCGTGGGTCCAAAATTGCGTTTCTAAATTATCTTTTAAAACTGATATAATTGGCCGAAGAATCCCATATGTTTGTTAGTGGGACATCGTTCTTCAAGTTGCTGTATATTTTGAACAATTAATTATACAAAGAAAATATCTTATTGTGTCAGTGGACAGTGTCAGTTAGTAAGTACACAGTCCCTATAGAGGGACTGTGGTAAGTACAACAGTATACATAACACTAAACAAAACACTTTTATGGGCTCATACAATCAATTAACCACTCGCCATATGACCTCCATTAAGAATTGAATTTATTTCACTTGCGATTTCTCCGAAACGCGATGTGTGAGAGCTCACTTCAGTTACGTCAGCTGTTACATGGGAATGCGTCTGTTTGTTTATCGACAGGCACCGATGACCTGGGCAACTGTGAGTGAGATAATATGACACTTTATTTTATTAGAAAACCTGAAGGCCATTTTGAATGGAGCACACTCAAAAAGGGTCATATATATAATATATGAAGAATTTTACCAATACAACAAACTAAAAATGGCATATCTTAAATGTCATATTGTTAAAAAGTGTTGTTAAAAAGGTGGTTAATTACCATTCAACGCACGCCCTGTCTTGTAACACGCCAGCTAAGTAGTCCTATGTATAATAGCACGTATAATACACAACAGCTGTAGCATGATTGTTTAGTATCATGGTAAGCATAACAGACATTATAATGTCGGAAATATTCGTAGTTACGAATGCAAACATCACATCAGTGTCAGAGTGCTACTTATGTGCCGTAAGATTAATACATTACAGTCATTGCGCGTCGGTCGACACTTCCGCTGTACTGTCTGCGTACATACTGTTCGACATCCTCGTAATAACCGAAAATATACGTAATAGCGAAAGCAAATATCTCATTATTTTCTGTGTACCACGTATGATCAAAATAATAATACACTCCACCGGAACTCATAATTAGACAAGTACACAATGAAACCCTTAATCCACCCGGCCCTGGATTCAAAATGATAGAAAGTCGGATACATTTATAGTTCCGAATATAATTATATCATTATTTCCGGTGTACTACATATGTTCAACATGATTAATACATTTCAAAGTTACTCAGAAAACACCAACACAAATTTGTCATATTTGTGCATAAAGAATTCGTTCCCACGAGAATACAAAAACAAATCAGCAAGCAAGGAGGCCATTACGAGTTTGTTTAAAACTTGCCCACCATAAGGTTCAAATATTAAATGTTCTGTCTTACATTTTTGAACAAAATAACAAGATTTTAAAAGAAAATACTTATTATCTGCGTCTGCCGTTTTTGTAAAAGAAACATTGAAAAATTAAAGTCTTTAAAGCGGGGAAGTCGTCACCTGCGCATGCATCAGATGGCCATAGCGTGTCATTGTTTACAAACAAGCGTCTACCCACGAGCCTTTGCGTTTTTAGCGTGTGTTGTTATCGTCGCTTGGGACTCAATTCTCGCGCGTGCGCAGGTGACGACCCTCCCGCTTTAAGCCTTATTTACATTTATTATTAGGTTATAGTGCCTAAAGTGTGTACAAATGTTATGTTTATATATAGTGCAGGTTATTCATGATATGAGAACAAAGATTTAAATTCTGCAGAAAATCTTTTGTATTT